TTTGAGTTAGGTTAGGTTAGATTAGTTTGAGTTAAGTTAGGTTAGGTTAGGTTACGTTTATTTCGTTTAGTAGATTTTGTTAGATTTGGTATCTTCTTGAAATTGTTTTGACGTTTCCACACTTGTGGTCACCATTTTTCACCCGCTTACAGTACATCACGTCTGGTTACGCTTTGTCACGCTTGAGCACGCATAGTCACGCTTTGGCAATCGTGGTAACTAACTAACGTTTCGGCACGCTTTACGTTATGTTACGCAAGTCTCGGTTATTTTTTGCTAATTTGCAATATGTTAGATGGAGTTACGACAGGTTAGGTCAGATTAGGTTGGGGTAGTTTAGGCTATGATAAGTTAGTTTAGGTTAGGTTAGTTTGTTACATTAGGCAACCTTCTGAAAATAGTCGTGACGTTTCGGCACGTATGGCCACATCACGACACGCCGTCACAGTACGTCACGCCTAGTCACACTTTGTTACGCTTGGTCACGCTTTTAAAATCTTGGTGATGTTTTAACACTTAAGGCGTCCTCTCGTCACGCTTTCAAAGAGGTCGCGCCTAATCATGCTTTGTCACTAATATGTATAATTGAAAATAATGAAGTGAACAGCAGTGATGAATCGAGTGATATGTCAGAAAGCGATGGTCTGTGAGGAGTGGAAGAATTGGAAGAGGACCGAAGAGTTGTGAAGAAGATAGAATTATATAATACTCTCTGCAGTTTTAATTTTCTAGTGATGTGTAGTTTAGTAAAATCGACTTTCCTACAGTGATAATATTTTATTTGGAGTGTACTGTGCGCGGCCTGATGCCATCCCTTCCAGCAAACCTCTGGTAAGTGACTCGCTCCGAGGTTCCAATTCAAAAAGTTCAGCGGCCAAAAACGCTGGAACGCAGTGAACTAACAATCGTAAAAGCGGCCCGTCATTTATACGGTCGACTTTATTCCAACCGTAATCGACAAACAAATGATTCGAAAGAGATTTAAATTTATTAAGGCGGGGAGTTTCTGGATAACTCTCTTCTGAGATGTAGCGCCGTGTAATCTAGTAGAAATTAACTGACGTTTCAGAGACGCCTACTGCACTCATCGACCTGAGTATCAATGCGGTTAAGCGTCCCCGAAACTTGACTCAGTATCTACAAGACTACACGGCGCTACATCTCAGAAGACGGTCATCTTCGAATGTTTTGAAAAAATATGTCGAGCACCGTTCACTTGTTTTTTTGTTAGTGCTAGTTGTTCCGGATAGATCGCGATATCCTTAAACTTTTGTTTTTCTTCCTCGTGTCTCAAGGGAAAGCAGAGCTGAGATCCGATCAGCAAGTACACACAAGAGAAGGTGTGCTCAATCGCTCAATCACTCATTAGTTACGTTAGTGCGAAGGCTATAAACTATTTGCTTTCTTTTCATTAAACTCTGGCTGTCTGACAGGATTCCAACTGGCAAACGTTTCTGCGTGCTCTCCGCGGTTGATAAACAGCAACATTCCTCTCAGACAAAGCCTCGCGAAAAACTTTATCGATCTGCTGCATCAGTAAGTGTCAGCTATGTGACCGTGTCATCACCCTTCTTGAAAAGTCATTAGTTCATACTGACACACACACGGTCTCGACCCACTTCGCTTCGTTCGGTTCAAGTAGTGAAACTAGAATCATTGTCATCTAACAAAAATTTGTGTCAATGGACATAAGGTGATGGCTGATACTGTAAGTAGTTTAATAGAATTAAGAGGTAGAAACCAGCGATTTAATTGAATATGTCAACAAGGATATAAAAAATATTAACCCAGTTTCATGTACCAAAGCATGTACACAAAATAAATACTAAGTTTTGAAACTGTAGGTCTGTAAATCATCATAAAATGTGTATAAAAATAAATAACACTTCTCGTTCTTTAAGTAGAACTTTAGACTCGCACAGTCACAATTCATATCCTTCGATTTTTAAGTTAATTTTATGGACAGTCATCTTGTAGTCGTTGTACTTTATACCAGTTGGTTTCGTAATATCACAAAACAAATCCAGAGGAATAATTTTCAGACTTTCCGAGTTCAAAGAAAATACTTATTTACATTGCATTTTAGATTTACTCCTAAGAAACCAAAGCCTGAGGAGACGAAACATCGCGGTCGAGCGGTTAGCCTTCCCGCTTCGTATTCGGGTGACCTCAGGTTCAAACTGTTACCCGCAAAACGGATATCCTGATAAGACTATTTCATGGTTTCCTCGGTACCTGCACGTAAAGTGCTATGATAGTACATTAAATCAGTAAACTACCGCTTCCTTCCACGTCTTTTCCAATTCACCAATCATCTTATTTTACGCTAGATGGTCTGAGTTACTGACAGAATCGTTAATAAAATAAATAAGATAGCTAGAAGCGAAACGTTTCCGTTCTGTTTTTACATCGCCTCAACAGCATTTGCTAAAAACAGAACAAGTGATTCGGTTTAAACAACTGCATTTCATCTCGGTATGTGATATATCATCGTTAAGTAACAAGCTCATTACTATTCTCAAAAATCATGCAAATGGTGATGACAGATCATATACAAAGTAACAAACAATAGATACGATTACCAGTCTAACTGGTAGATAGCATCCAAATTATATTTTATCGTCGCATTTCAGCAAATATTAGATGCTATAACAGTTCTGTGTGGCAGAAGAACAGAGGCCTATAGAGTTACCCTGTTCTTTACTTCGCGTGAATAAAACTTAAAATAAATACTTAGATTCACACTGTCGTCGTTTCGGTAAATTAACAAACGACTTTGCACGAACAAAGCAGATGTACTATGTAGAAAATAGGAATTACTTTTAATAAGTTTCGTTTTAAGTATCTCGCTTTATTTTGAAGGAAATTCCTGCTTTCTGGAAAACCAAGATTTAATGTGCTAAAACAGACTTGAATGTATTCACGTAACTTGGTAATTTTATTTTTCCTTTGTCCTTGTTATTCAATAAATTTCTTGGTGTAAATTAATACATAGCGTGAGTTTATGGGCCTTGACGACATTACACATTTATTTTCAGTGGAAACAACTGAACCCTTTTCCATGCGGCATGACTTAGGAATAACAGCTAATTAGTGCTGCAGTTTTTCTTATCCTGGTTACCAGGCAGGCAGGGCTCAGAATAGGTATTCAGCTCGAGATGACTGTCGCCTGATTAGTCCGGCAACTTCTTCGGCTTATTAGTGAAGCGGGTCGTCTGTTCAGGCGTTTCTTAAAGTCAAGCAGATCAACGCATTGAAACTCTTCCTCTAGGTTGGCAAACTCAAATTCGTTTTATTTCTGATTCCCACACCGTGCTTCATCTTTTAAGTATTCTACTTCCATTTATTTTTCAATCTATGACTTCATGCTTGACACTTTGAAAGATTTTTCGCTGTAATCTGTTGTGATTGGATATTTCCCTCAAGAAAATACGCCTCAAATTCAGGTACCAGTTTATTTCAGTTTAAACTGCGTAAAATCTCCAAATGTCCTAGTTGACGTTACAAAAAAATTTCTTAACTCTTTAAAGCACAAAAGTGGCACCTACATTAACGTTCAAAATCTTTGCATTTAGCCCACGGAGTGCGTTTATGGGTTTCTTACGATTATTTGAAAAGTTACTGCCCTCAACAGTGTTAACTAACTGGTCTTTGTAATATATTCACGCTGTGTTTTCTTTGAGTTATGGTTTACCTTTAAATATTAATAAACCTCGTGCTTCAAAATGTTTATATAATTTAGAACCCCTGTCCCATACAAATTTCGCATTGGTCAGTAATGACCTAAATTCAACAAATAATGTGAGATTAATCCTTCACAATTTATTACATTTACAGCCACCCTATGTATCTCAAATTCGATACAATTCTTCAGACTACCTGGTAGTTTTCCATCACACAAATAAAGACTTCCATTAAGGGTGATTTAGATGTCAAAGTTTAATGTTAGTATTTCATATCTGCATCTTTTTGTTCAGCGACGATGTTTCAGATTTGAAACCTAAAGGTACAAGAAAAATAATTACAAAATAATGTAATCAGAACGATAAAGACAAAGACAAAACAATTTGGTAGCACACTGGCCTGAAGCGAATTTTATGGGCAGAAATTCGCAATAATCTTTTATATTAACCAACTATTTCAGTTGCTTTAACTTTTTTTAAATTAGTATTAGTATGTCATCACATGTACAAATATTTAATCGTATGTCACCCTTAAAGTGATCATATAAAAACATGCAAAATTGTTTAAATACACACGTAGAGATAAATAAGCAGATAAATTACAGTCTGGCTACACTTTATTTAATTTATAGTATGTAACTGCTTTGATGGTATGCGAATAACCAATCTGACTCCACATGACAGTAAACAATAAAACATCTTTGTTCTCCTATTTCTTGAGAGGATGTTAAGCTCCCTTAGACAATGACAACAAGAGCAATAATAATAATAATAATAACACAGTTTTAAAGATTGTTGAATGGTGAATAAAATACTAGTTTTACAATATTTAAGAAGAAGATTTTAAGGCTAATAACTGACCCTGCCAAAGCGGGACAAATACTAAAGAAAAAGAAGAAGATTTTAAGGCTAATGATTATAACAGCAGATCACAACATGTCAAATACGTACACACTGCCCACATGGCACAAACGGTCAACTCGGGAAACCCCACAAAGACATAATAAATCAAAGATACTATGCACATAAATGTGGTTACAGTCTAAAAGTAGACGTATCAGAAGGAGAATTGCGCCTTAAGACAAATATATTTGGAAAAGTATTCTTTGGCTCCAGTTAAGCTTCAAAGCCCACAAACATTGAATAGTTTAGATGCCTGATGCCAATTTTACAGACAAAGAAGCGTTGTTTTCGCTTCACTTCGGAACATAAGCAAACTTCTGTTCTAAATTACAGCAGCGGTTTAATTAAATACACTATTTTCTCCTCCTAAAGCTACGCTAATCTATTTCGTTTTCAGAAGTGTAAGAGTTGTACCTCTGTACGGTTCCATTCCTGGAAGTACTCCATCCCCATTGTACAGGAGTATTCCTCGTTTGGTATGTCACTAAGTAATGTTGTGAACACAAATGACTGAATATATTCTTGAAACTTATGTGCCTGTGTGTTTCTCCGTCGAATCCAGAAACCAGACTGACACAGCTTAGGGCTTGCATCTGACTCAGCCTCACAATCCATAAAACCGTCTCACACTCGCGGGGTTGGAGGAGGAGAAGTGTTAACATGACATATTCCTGGCTTTAGTTATTTACCCTTTCCGAAAATATTCTTTTTATACTGTTTTCTAAACTCTGTTTACGCCTCCTACATTTCCTTCATACATCACGTTAAATATATAGTACAGAAGGCACTCGTTTGTATTATGAGGCTTCCTCCCCTCTTGCAGAAGGTTGCATTTTCCACACCTCGCTAGAAATCCTCTCTTCTCTTCTCACCTCCCCCTCTGTACCACAGTTTGTTGCCAGGAAATTTTAATATATATTTTCAGTCACTGCCATGGTTAGTCTATTCCGATAGGTACCCAGGTACACAGAGTCTTTCTGGAACTGTCAGTTACGTGTACAATTTTGACAACATCGACTTAAGAATTTCCCAAAACAATGGCGGTGATCAGGTCTGGTAAGAAAAAGCCAATCGAGATCTTCAATAACAGTGCTACGAGGCGAGAGACACGTTACATCGAGGTGGGATCGGAAATTCTGAAAGAAAATTTTGACGGCTGATAAAAAGAGTCTGAAGGATTGACGTTCTCACTGCAGCGAGTACGAAGTTGGCTATTCTAGGTTCTTCAGGTCGGGACTGGTAACTAAACAAAAACACTCCTGGTTCTCTTGGGAATCTAAAGTCGTCCGGCCCGTACCGATTCAACATTCTGACTGATGACTACTAAAACACACCGAAGTAAAACAAAACAGAATCTAAAAAGTAGATCCACCATTACTCCAACAAGTAACGCCTTGATGATGGCTGTCTTCTGGTTGTAGCGACGTGTAGTCTGGTAGAAGTCTACGAGCGTTTCAGAGATCCTTGCTACTTCCATCATCAGGGCCATTATTCATCGCCCTGATGATGGAGCTACAACCCAGAAGACAGCCATCTTCGTACTCACCGCCGTGAGAACTTCAAATCCTACAAATACAGACAGTTCGTGCAAATGACGTGATAAATAATTTTAAAAACGTAATAATATTCTGTATACACTGGGAGCGTAATAAGGGTAACAGGTCACAGTATAAACAGCGATGTGACATTATTCATAAATCTTTTTTGAGTATGGCTTCTGTATTTCGTCCGTGGTTAATAAAAGCGCTGTTTATACAATTTCTTTCCAAATGACCGCGTGTGTCCTAGTTCCTCGATTGCTGACTTATCTGTGACACAGAAAGTTCGATGCTTGCAAATTCGGGGGTTAGAACATTTGGCACGAGGGCATAACATTCCGTCCGCTATGACGGCTGCTTTGATTGGTACGCTGCCTGCCTCCCCTTGATAAAACAACACAAGGCGTCACTAAATATCGTATCCTTCACTACTTAAGTGACATTTGCACTTGTTCGACCCCCAGAAGTATAGTCAGTTGCTTATTGTCATTGCAGTTTATTCGAAAAATAAATCTTCTCAGTGAGGAGGTTAATATCGTCAATATTCACTCAACCACAAAGAAAAGAGAATGTGTCAGGAGAATATTAAAACAATTCAACTGCACAGAGAGGAGCTTTACAATTTGTACTATTCACCAGATATTATGATAAGAAAATCAAGGAGGACGAAACTGAATGTAGCACGCAAGGAGAGATAATTTCACACATTTCGGTTACGGACCCTGAAGATAACAAACAACTCGGAATTCCTGAGCATAAACGGAATGATGATATTAAAACGAATCTTAGGAATTGAGAGACCGGTGGCGTGTTCTTGTGAACGTAGTGATGCACCTTCAGATTAAAAAAATGACAGACTATTAGCTTCTCAAGAAGGATTCTACTCCACGGAGTTGGTACTCGTTGGTGTCTTTGGTCCATCTACTGTCTGAATGATATTAATATGTCTAGACCGACTTATTTTGAAAACAGAAACAAGTAAATCGAGTAAATGTGCTGGGTAACAACACTGTTGGCTGCGAACTAGAATGTATTCTGAATTTTCACTCCATGCGATTCGCATTTGCACAGCTTCTTTGACAGCCATGCGCCTTCCGGTACACACATTTCCCCAAAAATAACTCCTGACTCGTGTATTTTTAAACCCCGACGGAGGAGTGTGGGGGAGGGGGGGATTCGTCCTTAAGTCAGCATCACCAGCAGTCAGTCACTCGCCCCGCATCTGCGACTCTTCCGGGAGAGGGGTGCGAAGTTTCATTGTCGCCCAAAATGTTGCCAGTGTTTTTATCTTTCGCTGGCACACAGAAAGGCCGTGGCGTTTCATTTCAAGAAACATCCTGTATTTTCCTGGGTTCCATCTTAATATTATGCCCCTATCTGCACCTGCGTATCCCAAGTGGTCTCTTCCTTCGCATCCATTTCCTTTTCTCAAATTTCCCATTCGTGTTTCATGTCTGCCTATCTTATCCTCTTCCATCTACCACCTTTATAACATCTCAGCATAAAACGAAGACCCACATTCCACTGTACTCATCCTTCTGTTACTTTATCTGTTTTTTATCGTAGGTTACATCTGTAGACATGTATCAAAACTAATTTATTTATTTAACGACACTTTTTCAGTAGCTCAGACAACGTCGTATGAAAATTGGAAATAATGTGGAAGGAAGAGGTGGTGACCTAATTTAACACTATCCCGGCATTTGCCTGGAGGGACTGAGGAAAAACTTCTACCTGCATAAATCACATACACAACTTGTATAAATGTACAAGGTACTTATGTTTGTATTTATATACATGTAGAGGTACATATCTCTAGTTAAAACAAAGTTCTCTCTTTATATTCTGCCATTTGGCTTCGATGTATTTTATGTCGAATTGAAGGAACTGCCAGTTTCTTAAAAATATGTTTACGAGCGTTAGCATCCCTGCAGTCTTTAGACTTAAGGTACAATTTGGCTGCAGGCGACAGAGACAAGCGACCGAGGCAGGCGACAGAGACGGGAGACGGACACATCGCAGCTTGTCGCCACACACTTTTGAGGTGACGACCGAGACATGCGGCAAAGTGTTTGTTTTCTTTGTTTTGTTGAGACATACGTGCACATATTCTGTGAAAAATGAGTACAAAAATGCTTCTAAAAAGGTTACTCGAAGAAGAGTCGGTTTTCTGCTACTAATTCTACCAATTGCTCATCTTGGTCACCAGTAAATTTAATTTCTGCCATTATTTTACTCAACAACACACGTGCTGCCTGAGCCCGTCGCGAGACACTACTGGTCCGAGAGCGGTCTCCTGTGCTTTGTCTCTGTCGCCTGTCTTTGTCTTGCGCTCGTAATTATACTTCATACGATTGTACCGGGAGCAGACAGGAAGCGACCAGTCTCGGTCTCGTAACTCTGTCGCCTGCCTCGGTCGCTTGTCTCTGTCGCGTGCAGCCAAATTGTACCTTTAACGTTCCAAACATTGCTTCTCCTTATTAGCTTCATTAACGACAGTGTTCTTTTTCACTCTAACACAGACACAAAATACGAAAACAAGAATAAAATACAATGTCCACGTTTGTATTATGATTCTGACAACACGCAGCGAATATGCACATCAACACCAATGAATTTCCTTCTGTTCTGGGAAGAGCTGATTAAATGTAGAAACCGCACACGGGTCAGTTCCGCAACCTGTCAAGTCAATGGTAAAAAATCAATCACAAAATGCACCTAGAAATGTGAAAGTGAGGGGGCCTCATAAATACTATACGAGTGCTGATTTCTCATACAAGTTCTGATGCATGTATCAAGGTGTAAACTCGCCTCAAGGTCGACATACGTTTCTCAGCACCAGGTTCTCAAACGCCTCAATACTTTTCTTCCCTAAAGCTGAGAGTCAAAGTTTTACAGATATATAGAACAACAGTTAACATGCTAGTCTATAGATTTAGGAATAACAGCAAAACTGAAGAGCAATGATTTTAATCATAAACGGCGCTGAAGCGATCCCTGTACGTCGCTGGAACTTCAGAGGCGACAGAATATCATTATGGTCCTAATACGTTCCCAACCACCGTGTCCTCTGGCACTTGTAACTCATGTTCTTCCTTCAAAAGGACAATATTTTAATTTGAATTAAATTTTTACAACCAACCAAAAATATATATTTAAAATTGCAATACAATAATGATAAACTCTGAACCTTATGTAAAAAGAACATATATCGTAGAAAGGCTAGACAATCATCTTCATGAAGAGCAGTATTCTTCAGTGTCTACAGATAAATGTCAGGGCCAAGGTCGCTTCCTTCCACAACCCTTTCAGCTTTTTTATCACTAATTACCCCGTCATCGAAGCTATCATCTGAGCCACTCCCAGCGGCGTTAAATAAACAACAAACAAAGTACAAGGACACTACGTCACGCATGCGCTATACAAGTGCAAGCCAATGTCTATTTGATAGTAATAGTACACCATCTAGTGGCTGGGAGCTGTACTACTGGCAGCATTGTGATTAGTACGTCACGCACTATTCCTGATGATGCTTAATTTTTAACGTGAATAATGAGTTGAAAATAATATCTTAAGAAGTGTAATGCCACTAGTAGCTTGCTTTGAAAAATCAACTGCAGTATAAGTTGCGATGTCTCTGGAGTGACTATTATCCACAGAATACATTCTATTTTTGAAGGAACTGCCAAGTCACTTTGAGATTATCACTTCTTAACAAGAAAAATTTAACTCAATGAAGCCGCAGTTCACCTGAATAATATTTAAGAATTCAGCCCTTACCGCAAAGAAAACACATTTCTCTATTAAAACATCACTCAGTTAAAGCTTTTTAAGGAAATAACATTTACAGTGAAAATCATACGAACACAAAAACAAATTGTTGAGTTTTTTATCGTTAAAGCAGGTGGTATATATAGTTACTGCTGGTTTTTAAATGGTAAATTTCGTATGTCACTTTCCTGCACACATATTGTCTTGTTTAAGTTCATTTCATATCAAAGGTAATTATGAGCTTCGCAGAAAATATACCAAACAGCGCGTTTAACAAATTACAATGGCGAGGCACACATCAAGTGTCTATTCAGCTGCGCC